CCCCCTAGTGCCCCCCCCCCCACGAAATCATATTTTGCCCCCTCCCCCCCAGGAAAAGTCGCTTTTTGCTAAATCTATACAAACAAACCAGTGAAGAAAAACAAAAAAACGGAAAGTAAGTTTTAGGCTTTATCCTTTGTCCTTGTTTAATAACAAAATCGATTTAAATTGTTACGTTTTTCCACCACTAAGTAATGATAAATTATTGTTAATAATTATTTTATTTTTTGTGCGTTTTTTCCTTCTTTTATTTGAAATACAAGTATAGTTAGCATAAATTTTAGAGCAAATTTGGATGCTCAGAATGCAGGAAATGGCATTTCCGGGTTTCAAATTTCAAAAATTTTCTGGATAGTATGCTCCCACACACGTGGCCTTCGGCCATTGCTATCCCCCTCTAATAAGTAATGACAAATTACGGTTAATATTTTTTTAACTTTTTGTGCGTTTTTTCCTTCTTTTATTTCAAATACAAGTATATTTAGCATAAATTTTGGAGCAAATTTGAATGCTCAGAATGCAGGAAATGGCAATTCTGGGCTTCAAATTTTCCCGTCTATTGGTCATGTCTGGCAATGCAGTGACAGTAGAATGACATGGTCTGAATCTGTGCTAAGAATTAGTTAACAAATTTGAGTACATCAAGTAATCATAGACCTGCTTGTGTACCAGCTTCTCCATAATTCGTGCTACAATCGAAATGACAGATATTGACCTTTAGCTAGAGGTACAATTTTTCCCCTAGATTTGTATATTGGTGTTACTCATGCAATGAAGAAATGAAAATGTTTATTTCACATTAGCGCAAAGACGAACGATGAAAGATGACGGCGGAACATGCACAAGGGTGGGAGGGGAAGGAGGGGGGGGGGATGGCCGCTTTCAGTGCTATAGATCAACAAGGAGTAGAAGTTGGGTGCTAATTCTTCTTTACTATCCCCCAAAATAACTACTGACCAGACCAAAACGCTAATATAAAGGATGTTCTCAGGTGAAGACAAAGTGAACAATACTAGCAACAACGGCCCCGAACTTAGTGAAAAAATGACACCCCCCCCCCCTGAAGCGTGAAAGTAAAAGTTTAGCTTTTGTGACTAAATGCAAACTGTGCAAATCAGCGGTTGCTTTGGAAACAGCTGCCTTATATTAACAGCAACAAATCCCGCGCTCGTTTGTCAAATACAGGAAATAAAGAATTGGAGACATATCGTATAATATGGTTAAAGAATAGTTTTTATTTAGTAATTTAGTATACGAAACCTTATCAATAATGTTTTTATAATCATGCTCACTTTCGTTCCTTCATTTTTATCTGTCTTGTCACGTGACGTCTAGTTCTTCAGTTTCAGCTTTCACACTCTTTGCGCACTTGGCATTCTAATTGAGTTGAGCGTCAGTCTTTAATACTACCGCTTTAGAGACAAACATCATCTATTTTTAAATTTAACCTGAAATTTAGTTTCACGCCACTAAGCTAAATGAAAGTGACCTGTAACAATATAGATCAAATTGTTTATTCAAAATTAGAAATGTTTGGCTATTTATTGGTCAAGCACTGCAAAAAATAACGTAAGAATATCATATTAAATCATACCATGCGTTACAGTGGACGATTTCGAACTAGAAAGTACAATTTCGCGCAGGTTGTGAACGCTGCGTGGTATTTTTCAGTGCGGTGCTCATTAAGAATTTATTATGTGCTTCTACGTGTGCAAATGAGCTGTGACTTTGAGAGAACGTGAGAGCATTAAAATTGTTGAACTTTTATCTTAAAATATTTGTATACTCAGGATTAAGTAAACTAGGATTAAAAATTGAAATGTACTGTTGTTGGGGCTCTTTGATAATTCTTTCAGACCATATGTTTCAGTTAAGAGCTGCGCAAACATCATCCATTTTTAAATTGAACCTAAAATTTAGTTCAACGCATTAGGCTAAGTGAAATTGTCCCGTAACAATATAGATAAATTTGTTTATTTAAAATTGCAAATGTTTGACTATTTATTGTTGAAGGGATAGAAAAAATAACGTAAAAATATCACATCAAAACATTTCATGCTTTACAGTGGACGGTTTCGTACTAGAAAGTACAATTTACCGCAGGTTGTGAACGTTGGGGACTATATTTGTGTGCGGTGCTGATTAAAAATTTATTGTACAAATGAGCGCTTAAAGTTCTGGGGCCGGTTGTATAAAAACGTCGTTAACTTTAACTATGATTAGCGTTAATCACTGAAGTTAAATAATCCTTAACTAAGATTAGTTAACTACACGACTTAATTGCGTTGCACAAAACGTAGTTTGTCGGATGATTAACTAATCACGTAGTTAACTTGCGTTGGGCGTTTTAAACACAAAATTACATAAAGCAAGCAGCGATTAACGACCGCTGACAAGCATTTTTAATACGATCGAGGACTCGCATTTTGCAAATAGGCGGGAATTAATTTTATTCAAAACAGTGAAAATCAAGTTAAAAATCAAGGAAGAAGGCCATTTTTACTTGAGATGTCTACGTTAAACCAAAGTGTAACCGTTTAGCAATTATATATCATGTTTCTTCGTGTAATGGGCCCTACGTCGTCTTCAAGAAATCTTCCCGTGCAAAAATATATTTTATTTTCGCCCAAAAACCAAAGCGATAGCTTTTGAAGAGTTTATATTGTCAGAAAACATTCACAGGGAAGAAAGCGATTGAGAATCCCAGGTAAGCATTACTTTTCATTGTTGTTCCCTCCTATACAAGCGCCATGCATTTTTAACTACGTTTTGAGAAGTTAACGATACCATAAAGCATCGTTAACTTTAACTACGTTTTAACTACAGTTAACGCTCACTTTTTTACACAACCGAGTTAACTACGTGCTTAAAGTTAACCACAATTTAACTGCAAAATAGTGATTAAAAAAGTGATTAAGAGTTTTATACAACAGGCCCCTGGAGAGAGAATTGAATGTGAGAGCATTAAAATTTTCCAACTTTAAATTTTAAACTTTAAAATCTTCGTATACTACAGGATTAAGTTCAACTAAGACAGATTAGAACTTGAGATGTACTGTTTCCGTCGCTCTCTAATAATTCCATCAGAATATGTTTCAGCTATGTGCTACATAATTGTTTTCAGTAATGCAGTGCTTTTTCCCCGAGCCAACGGGCGAGGGTATATATACTAATTCCGCACGGCTATTTACACCCGGGGAAAGGAACGCACGATAACGAAGTCTAAAGTTCATCAAATATCGCGGGCGCATGGCTTACCGTTCATGGGTGGTCATCCTCACTGATCTCAAAATATGTAGCGGACTGTCGTGAATAGCGAACACTGATTGGTCAAATTTGAAATTTGCATTATAAGGACTGCATGCATGACGACAGCGAAGTAACAAACATTTCTTTCAAGTTGTATATTTGCAACCTTTCTGACAGCAAAAAACGTCTAAAAACTTCTAAAAGAATACAGAAAAGTCGCCGACGTTAATGAAAGTAAGTTTGTTTTTGATATTAATGTATTGTTTGTTTTATAATTTTTATTATTGCTTTAAAAACTGATACTATCGTTGCGTATACAAGTAAAAAAAGACAGCATATAATTTCAGTGTATTTTTATTAATTACTCTTTCTTTTGTATATTAAAATATTTAAATAAAGAGGAAAGCAAAGTTATTTTCATGCGTGAATTTGAAATCAGTTTATTTCAAACTCAAATAAGTTTACCGATAATTCGATAAAGGCAGTTTAGCTTTAAGAACATTTTAAAACGTTTTGCGAAACGGTTGAATTTTACATTAAATTGAAGTACTACTTAAAAAACGAGCAGGAGTGTTTTATTTGGACCTAATAAAACACGACCTGCGAGTTTTTTAAATGGCTTCAAAAACGTTTGCATAATAAGTCAAATCTTTATATAAAAATCTTTATGTAAAATCTTTATATATATAGTTTGCATAACAATGGTCTTTTGTTAAAGTATTCTTTAGCTGGTATAAAGACGTATGCACGTGACTAATTTCTTACTCAAGATTGGATAATTGCTTCATGAATTATTAATGAGCTTTTGAAGCTTATATTACGTATATATATATGTTTGGGAAATTGATCATTTTGTAATTAAAAGTGATATTTCGGGGGTGGGGGGTGGGGGATCTTTCAATTTTAAAACTATTCTTAAAATTATCATGTTACCATGACAACTACTTTCAATACTTCAGTGTGACTTCATGTTTAGAAAACATAATGGTTTTGTCAGTAAGGCGAGGGTTTCTGCGTTCATGTATTTTCTAGTAAATTAACTACCATGTTCTGGGGCGACGCATAATACATTAAACACTACCTGGCATACCACTGGACAAGAGGAATATCATGCATGATGATTGATGTGTGTTCGTTTTCATTTATCCATGGCCCATTGTGAATGTTTAAAATGATGATGTATTTAACTTTACGAATGACATTTCTCTTTAATGCCTAAGGCCCGGTTTAGACGCCGTGCTTTTCATGAGCCGAACTTAATTCATATTTTACTCGAGTAAAATAGGCGTACTTCCAATTTTGATTTAGATAGGCGTGCTTT